CGAAGTTGCAAAAAATGTCGCAATCAATACTTAATTCTAATTGAACTGATTATTTGTAAATATTGTCCTTATAATCTCAAGGAATTAACTGTTAATAATGGACTCGGTCCTCAACACTGATGACTTCTGTGAGCGTTCTTTTCTATTTATATTTTCTTTCACATATCAAGGTTCATTGACCCTCTCACTCCCCGCCGAGACCCCGTCTTCAGGTGATTTTATTCTGGTACAAACGTACTCTGGTGGAAGTTTGCATAGAACTGTTGAGCCGGGGAGCTCTCGGAATAGTTATATTTTTCAAAATGATAATTTATGATTTGAAATTAACCCCCAAAGTTAAAAAAGAGACATTATCTCCTTTAACATTGATACTCGATGAAGAAATTCTTCAGGCCTATGGCAGGTTAATTTATTTTTAAAGGGGTTTGCTGATGTTACTTTCATTGTCTACCTGTTATGAAATGTTCATTTTTTTGACTCGAAAGCAAATCGTTAAAATTCTATGTAACTTCAACTCAATCAAGCGGAACTATATATATGTCCCAGTGATGTACGCTTTCTTCGAGGTCAAGGGTTACCCGAAACAGGTATTCAAGTCTTTGAGCTGCGATGAACTTTATTATGGTTGGTTTGATATCTTACAATGTTCACTTATTTAGCTTGATTCCCTCTGTATTACTGGTATACTTGTGTGTTGAAGTGGAAAGAAAAAGTGCTCATAGAGTATACATTGAAATCACATTCCATGTCTGCATGCTTTTTCGTGATTACTTTACATACTGTCCTCTGTGTGTGATGTACTTTCCTATGAACATGTTCTATTTTTTTTATAACTTGTTTACTTGAATCTGATTTGTTTGTTTCATATGTAAATGAGTATCATGTATTCAGAAAATACCTACCAGTATCCCTGAATTTTTCAGAATCTTCGTTATGTTATATTGAAACTTTATGCGCACGACGTTCCAAAATTGATGCAACTTTTCTCTGACGTCATTGTTTCTAGCAAGTGCTTTTTCATACCACAATATACAAAAAAAAAACGTAAAAAAATTACTTGATATTTTTGGTATTTATTAATGTGACCTTACGTGGGAATTACAGCAAGTACTCTCCTTGGAATTGTCTGATATAAGGTACAGTTAGAGAGTTGAACCAAATGTTCAAAACTTCATAAATCAAATCATTTTTGGATTTAATTGCTGGCAGTGATTTACTGAGACGATTTTTTTTTAATTAGCCATACATTTTCAATTATGTTTAAACAGGTATTCATGTGTTTGAGCTGCGATGAACTTTATGGTTGATTTAATATCTTAGAATGTTCACTTATTTAGTTTTATTCCCTCTGTATTACTGGTATACTTGTTTGATGAGGTGGAATGAAAAAGTGCTCATAGAGTATACATTGAAATCACATTCCCTGTCTGCATGCTTTTTCGTGGTTACTTCACAAAACTTTTTTCCGAAATCGGATTTTACTCTATGTGTGATGTATTTGACTGTGCAAAAAGATGATCACAACTATTGCGTAACATCAAACGGCTCCCGATATATACCTGTATAATCCCCATAGTATTATACCGGTACTCGGTAGTGAGTACTAACTCGCACTGATCAAAATTGAATGATTTTGCATTTTTGTTATCAATAGAGAAAACATTTTTTTTCCATTTCGATATTAAAGCAAAAATGAATCATTGGAAATTTTTTTCTCCTATTAAAGTAAATAACAGTGACTCTGTCATTTGATAGTACCTTGCAGTATTTGAAATACTAAGCTGATAAGTTATACTGGAAAACACTTTCTATAGTTTAGATGTATTTTTCAATTACAGGTATTTCATGAAGTTAGTTTCCTATATTCAAAATGCACGAAGTAATCTATTTAAAGTAAGGGGAGCTTTTCATTAAGTAGGTAAAATACTGCATGGGAAAAGGTGCTATTCATCTTTAATATTTTTCATTTAAATTTTTATTTGAAAGGAGGTGTAAATTTTCAAATTTATTAAGAGAATTGTAACTTTGTTTGGTGTGCCAAGTATTCTTGCTCAACCGAAATTATACCTCTACCACTTATGACATTTAGAAAATACACGTAACTGCCAGTATCCATAATAAATCTTGTTTTCCCCATAATCCTCATTATGTTAAATTTAAAATTTCATGCGCACGACGTTCCAAAATTGATACAGCTTTCCCCTGACATGATTGTTTCTAGACAAACTTTCAAGCCTTTTCATGCCACCATAAACCAAACAAGAGGCCCATGGGTCACATTGCTCACTTGAGTAACATTGGCCCTTCTGTTACCTAACATATTTCCCCCTTTGTAATGCCTATTTTGACCTTGCGCAACACCAAGGGGGTCATCATTTAGTCATTTTAGAATGTACACTACCCAGGATGCTTCCCCATAAGTTTAAGCTTTTCTAGTCCACAGGTGCTTGAGGATAGGACCCCCCCCCCCCCATATTGACCCCCGGGCCTGTTAGACTTTTTTCACATAAATTATATATGGATGACACATTTGTGATTTAATCTATCCTATTAATTAAGAAAATTTTCTTAAACTAACATTTTATAAAATTTCTACCCCACTCTCTATATATAAATTAACAAGGTTGCCAACTTCGTTTGCAAACCGAAAGGCACTGCCGAGAATTTTGGTTGAATCGTCTCATAAATCTAAATAAAGCCCTAAAATCAACAACACATATTGTAGATTGAATACTCTTTTCATTAATAAACCAACTTTCATGAAGGTTAAGACACTTCAAAAGTCATTATGACCAGTTTTCTACAAGGATGTCAGGCTACAGTCAGCGTTTTTGCTTAGTGAACGGAAGTGACGAGGAGACGACTTTTTACCGAAATACACAGTTCTGCAGTAAGTCTGAAACACTGTTTTGAAATAAATATTTGAAGAAATTTGGTTGATAAACACTTTAAAAAATGTCTTTCAAATGTTTTGGAAGGATAGAGTTCTAAACCGCTGATGTAAATGAAATGTTTCTAATTATTTTTCAAATACCTGATTTGCATGTATTGGTTTTGAGAGTTATGCCCTTTTAAAAATGCAATTTATTAAAATACCTTCTTTTCCTTAAATATTTCGTGTAAAATCTACAAAACGTTTGAAAATAATGTTTGATGACAAAAAACAAGAATATTTCCATTGTTGGTATCTTACACGCATATTTGGTTATGTGGGGAACATGGGGAATTAGTCCTCTCTTCGTTACTTCCGTTCAATAAGCTTTTTACGGAGTTGGCAACCTTGTTGATTTTTATATAGAGAATGTAGAGTAATTTTACAGAACGTTTGTTTTAGGTAATTCTTCGATTTGTTGGTATAGATCTTATCACAAATATGTCAATGAAAGATTATTTATGAGAAAAAAGTCGAAAAAGCCCAGGGGTCTATATCGAAGGGGGGAGGGGGGTCCTGTCCTCAAGCACCTGTGTTCTAGTCCAGAAGAAGATTCTTCAATGACCCCACCCTATTTTTTGCATTTTCTTACTTTTCTCCCCTTGAAAAAGACTTTGCCCTTTATATTAATAATTTAAACTCCCCTTCATGCAAAGATGCATTGTACCAAGTTTGCATGGTTAAAATTGGCCCAGTGGTTCTTGAGAAGAAGTTGAAAATGTGAAACAGACAGTCGGACGATGGACAACGGATGATCAGAAAAGCTCACTTGAGCTTTCGGCTCAAGTTAGCTCATAAAAATACCCCCCCCCCATCTATTCCTATGTAAAACTTTGTTCATCCAGTATAGCCCTTCCCTACCCATGGGGGTCATGATTTGAACAAACTTGAATGTACACTACCTGAGGATGCTTCATATGAACAATCATGGCCTTGCTGTTCTTCAAAAGAAGATTTTTAAAGAATTTTCCTGAAACTTTAATCGGCCATTGTGGCCCCGCCCTACCCCCGGGGGTCATGATTTGAACAAGCTTGAATCTACACTACCTGAGGATGCTTCCATAAAAATATTACCAATATTGGCTATGCTATTCTTGAGAAGAAGGTTTTTAAAGAATTTTTATATATATTTATTCGTAAAACTTTGATCGACCATTGTGACCCCGTCCTATCCTCCGGGGGGGGGGGGGGGAGATTATATGATCAATGTTGAATCTACAATACCTGAGAATGCTTCCATATAAATGTGACCAATCATGGCTTTGCTGTTCTTGAGAAGATTTTAAAAGAATTTTCCAATATATTTCTTTGTAAAATTTTGATCGGCCATTGTGTCCCCGCCCTACCCCCGGGGGTCATGATTTGAACAAACTTGAATCCACACTATCTGGGGATGATTCCATATAAATATGACCAATCATGGCTTTGCTGTTCTAGAAAAGAAGATTTTTTAAAGAGTTTTCCTATATATTTTTTGTAAAATTTTTATCGGCTATTGTGGCCCCGCCCTACCCCTGGGGGTCATGATTTGAACAAATTTGAATCTACACTACCTGTGGATGTTTCCCCATATGTTTCATCTTTCTGGCAATATGATTTTTTAAACATGCCACCAAATTTTCACCTTTTCTGAATATCTTCCCTTTAATGAGGGCGTGGCAATTTATAATTTGAAAAAACTTGAATCCTCCTAACCCAAGGTAGCTTTGTGGTAAGTTTGGTAGAAATTAGCTCAGCGGTTCTGGAGAAGAAGTCAAAAATGTGAAAAGTTTATAGACGGACAGACAGACTGACGACGGACAAAATGTGATCAGAAAAGCTCACTTGAGTTTCAGCTCAGGTAAGCTAAAAACTGGAAAAAAAACTTACTTGATATTTTTGGTTTTTAATTTTGTCATCTTCCGCAGAAATCTCCTTGAAATTGTCTGATATAGTTTCTGATATAAGATACAGTTAGAGAGGACCAAATGTTCAAAACTTCAGAGATCAAATCATCTTTAGATTTAACTGTTGGCAGTGATTTTTTCAGTCGATTTTTTAAAAAAAATTAACCATGTTCGTTTTCTAATATTTATTTACATTTCGTTTAACTGTTGTAGATATGAATGAGAATTCCACAAAAGGAGCTCGACATGCACTCTTTACATGTCATCGAAATCGAAATGCGTTATTCGTTGGTTCCGTTCTATTTGTCGCCTTCAGCTGCATTTTTATGATTTCAAGTTATCTTTCTCCTCCCTACCACGTCATACCTACAGGTTCTCAACAATTTGTGTACTACTTCGATCAAAAACATTGGGCAAATCGGACACAAAAGCGGATTTTATTGTGGACTAGGTATTTCTACGATGGCATGTGGGAAAGAACAGCGCGGAATGCGTTGGACAAAAGTGTTTGTCCCTACCAGTGTACATTGACTTCCGACAAATCCACCATCAAAGAATCGGATGCTGTAGTCTTCCACTTGTTAGATTTATATTTTTGGGAAAGTCCACCGAAGTATCGAGAACCTCACCAGGTGTGGGTATTGCACAATGCAGAACCCCCGCCACATCAGTTTTACACCGGAAGTTTTGTGACTTATTCTCGCTTTGCTTTTAACTGGACGTTTTCATATAGAAGAGATTCTACGATAGCAGCTTCGTATGGACGTGCCTTGCGACGAACAAATAAGGAATCTGCTGAACTTAACAGTAAACCTCGCACAGATCACACAAAAGAAAAAAGCAAAATGACGTATGCTGTGATAAGTAATTGCGTTGATGATGCTGGGAGGTTTGCCTACGTAAAAACATTAAGAAAATACACTCCTATTGATTTGTATGGTAGATGTGGAAATCTTACTTGCCCAAGAAATGCAACTTGTGAACTTATGCTAAAATCTTACAGATTTGCAATAGCATTTGAAAACAGTAATTGTAAAGGATACGTTTCCGAAAAATTTTGGAATGCTCTTCGAAGAGAAAGTATACCTTTAGTGAACTGGATCCCAGAACAGGTTCCCGTCGATGCTCCTCCTAAATCTTATATTAATGTTCATGACTTTCCGAAGATGGAAGACTTGGCAAAACATTTAGATATGTTAGCTTCGAACGATACAGAGTATAACAGTTACTTTGAATGGCGGAATGATTACGTCATCGAAGATGGATTCTTTCAAGGGTTCTGTACACTTTGCAAAGCTTTACACAATAACTCAATACCTGCTCAAGTTGTGGATTATCGAAGCTGGTTATCAAACGACACTTGTCAGGCATGGACGGTAGGTATCTACAGTATCTTCAAGAAGTATAGTCAAACCCCGGTATCTCAAACACCCATACTGAATTTCAAATACCATAGATAATCAACAGTGATTTAGAGGTTCCAGCTATTTATTTTTATAAGTATTTTTCCTTCAGTATCTTGAATCCTCAATTATATCATGAAGTTTTTTTTCTTTCGAGGTTTGGATACGTACGGAAAGAAGCTTAATTTATTTAAGAGTTCATGTCCATGCTATCTCTCCTCTCTCTCAATTAGCACTGTAGTAATGCAATGGTGTAATAAGTTCATACCTCTAATATTCTTTTGTTCTTTTCTTTTACAGATATACAGTGTTTTCGCAAGAAGAATTAAAAATTATTTTGTGTAATCTCAGGAAACTTTACTATTCTGTTGCATCACATGCACTACTTACAGCATAATAATTCGTCATTAAGCTGGATGTTTATGAAACATGGTTGCTTAGATGATTCTTTTTGTTATTTATTCACAGCAGTTTGACTGCAATATATGTCCATTATACATGTACTAGTATATTATACTTGTCCACAGTCATAGAACGCGTTGGTGATTGAAATACATACATTTTGTTTCTTTGTTTTTAAAATTTATTTATATTTTAATTTTAATATCTTAAACTTAAAGGTGTATATGCATTTTTGCATTTGGAACATTTTACCTCTTGTACAATATACAAGTCAAGTTGAATAGTTGGGCCATTCATTGTCTTAGCCACATATATAAGGTGCTAATAAAAGATATTTTGGAGAAACTTGTTTTCATTTTCGTAAAAGAGAACTTAATATTTGGCAAACTTATCATTAAACAACAATTTTCTTATGTTTTGCTTCATCAATAAAACTACTTCCATAAGCAAAATATACGGTAAAGTACAAGTACTCAAACAAAACAGGAAACAAACATCGAGTTGCCAAATTAAAAAAAATCATTCGAGCGGGAATCCTTTATAAATTTAAAAGGTTGTGATTATGCGGCTCCCTTTTCAACAAAGAGCCAATAAACCATCTTATAAAGGATACTCCAATCTGCATTCCGGATCAGAATCGGCGATGGACAGGAATTATTGTTTCTATGAGGGTGTAAACTAACACTTGACACAGACATTTCCTTCAGAACAAACGCATATAGAAGGATACCCATGCCTTATAATAAAATTAAAAGATACTTTCACGGTTTCTTTATAACATAATGTCATTATGCACCTCCTATTTTACTTTTTGATCTGACACTTACTTTGGGTCTCCCAGAGTAAAACATGGACTATGCATTAAAATAATATGGGAGGCGGGGTTATCATTTGGTAAACTCAGCGCTCACAGTGCCTCTTGGTTTAATTCAATTCATTTATTTAGTTCTTTTGAGCCAAGGTAGCCTCTCTAGTCCATTCCTTCTCTCCGTCCGTCAGTCTGTCTACATTGAACTTTAACTCCAATTTACCAGACCATTTAACTTGCCATAAAGCATTTTCCCGTTACGGTAAAAGAAATTTGTTTTTTCACGAGTGTCCAGTCTCCTTGCCTAGGGAGATAATAAATATACAAACAACAACCTCAAGAAATACAAGGGCAGAAGAAAATCTTGTTACTTCTTTAATTACCTTTACTTCCTTAAGATAGATGATCCAAGTTATTGTATACATGATTTAGCCTTTTGGGGTAAACTTTTGTCGTTTAACATTACTTATTTCTGATTATTATTGTTTGAAATGTAAGTATATGTAATGAGTACAGGACAATTAAATTGTCATATCAAAATTTTAATTTTTTTTTCTTTGTAAAGGACACTTTTATATAAAATTATATATTAAACTTAAAATCTTATTATCAAAAAATTTAATCCAACGATATAGGCAAAAGAAAAATCAACACGTTTCCAATCTAATAAAGATTCATGTTTGTTAGTCTTGAGAGGGGCTCTGTGAGTGAAAATAGCTGAACTTCATGGAAGAACAAGTAACAAAAATGTTCATAATCTTAACGTTAAAATACCAAATTAAGAGTACACCTCTATTGACCGTCTCTAGAAGTAAAGAGCCTCTAATTATTCCCATAACTTGGCTGTAGATCTGCTTTGTAGTTAAAGAAATATGAAATTAAGAGACAGCAATCACGCTCAAAATTCAATTAAAGGGGCATGGACACAGTTTCAGCTTAAAATTTTAAAAATTATTATCCCATTTTTACAATTTTTAACGAAGGTCTTTCTAATGATCATCAGAATTTGAACTTCAGTGGTCGAGATACAAGACAGATTTAGAGCTCCAAACCTTTGTTATGTAAACAGGGTCCGTGCGTGTTTTTGTTTATAATAGGTTATTATACTAATATATGTTCGTTCAAAGCAGATAATTTCAATGAAAAAATTACTTCTAAACACGATTAGACAGTTTCTAGTGATTTGCTGAATTTCATTTTGTTATAAATATGATATTTTCTATATATGTAAACAAAAACAAGACACGAGCCTTGTTAACATTATGAAGAACATCTGTATCTCGTATGTTAATCAACAAATGATGTTCACATTTTTACTGATCATTAGATAATACCTTAGTTAGGAAGTGTAAACATTAAAACTAGTTTTAAAAAATCAGTTGAAACTGTGCCCATGTCCCTTTACAACAATACAAAGACGAAGCAAAGCAAACACGACCTCATAAATGTCAGGTGTCATATAGGAGTAAGCATACCCTGTAACTAGAAAAACTCGCTGTATGTTCCTTGTCATAATTGGATTTAAAGAAAATCCTTTAAAAAATTTCAGTGTGAAGGCCTAAAGCTTCGCATAAAAAATGTCAATCAACATGCAAAATATTTAATATTGCATAATTTGCTAACAATGTCATTGTATTCACTGAACAGAATTTACGAAAATTGTGCCAATAAATGAGACTGTTGATTTCCTTGTGTGTATTATCAACTTATCTGTGAATAAGCTTATCTCGTTTTAGAAATTGTTCTGTATGTTAATTCATATAACGTCTCCGATATATATATAAATATAAAATTGAAGGCCATGGAAAGAGATTTCTACTCTCATGATTAATTAAAAGTTCTACATATAACGGGATGTAATTTGTACGTACGGGAATTCCAACAGGTTGTTGTTCTACTTGTAAAAACACAGAGATATTGTCAAACAAAATGCGGAACACTTATGCGTAGAATCAATCAGAAAGTTGTCAGAAAATAATTATCCACATGACCATGTTGTAAAGATTATGATTTCCACTTATATTGAATAAGCAGTTGCAAATGTTGCAAAATTACCTGTTTGGCAATTCTTGACAGATTTTTTTTTTTGTGTTGAAAAGAAAGCAAACCCTTTCCAAAAAGCGTTAAAACTTTTAAAAATACAAAATAACACATTTCCAAAAGGTTAACTACGCCGAAAACGTAATTAAATAATATACATGTATCACCAAAAGGCGTTATTACATTTCAAAAGGCGTATAATAATGTTTTACGAAAGGTGTAAAATGTATACATTATCCATACGTTAAAAATTTTAATACTGGTTATTCTTTGATCTTGTGCGCTCAGGTGAGCGATGTGGCCCAAAAACCGTACATGTTTTTATTTGTGAGTTGGTAATTGTATATGAAATTTAAATATACTTAGTGTACGTATTTCCTTTGCATATTCACACGTAACAGGAAGTGAAATTTCATACAGTTGACGAATTCTCCGACAGAAATTAAACAGGTAAGTAACAAATCTTCACATTTAAAATTATTTTCATATATTTCTATAAAGAATAAATATAAAAGCGGAAGGGTTTCTCTATACGAAGAGACAAATCCCTGATAACATCCTTTTCTCCTACCTTCTAATAATGCCTATCAATTCTGCTATACTGACCTTTACTTTATTAATATCGCTATAGATAAAAATAACGGAAATGAACATCTTAGGAAAGGTGGTATTTCTTTGCTTGGTTTCTGTGAACGTATGTTTCCTGACAGAAGCTTCATCAGGACAACGGAAGCAATATGCCATGTACGTCTGGCGGAATGGATTTGATCCTAACATACCCGGATGTGGGAAGTCTGAATTTCTGACATGGGATAGCAAGCATAGTCATTGCTTCACTCATACCTGGAATACTGCAGGGAAAAGACAGTGGTTATGGGCAACGTGTAACCTTCAAGGTCGGGAAGTCTCTAGCATATTTCTGGCGGACGTATATCACAAATTAAAGACGGGTTACCAAGCCAACAGCTGCCATAGCAGCAATATTAATTTATTAAGAACAACCTTGTTAGAGGGTCATAGTCACGTGTCCAACTTGAAGATTTACGCCTTATTTGCCGCCAGTGATGCTGACGTGTCTGAACGTCACATGATTCCATATGTTGTCTGGTATAACGACCATTGCACACGTAAGCATATACTGCCTGAAAATCTTAAGAAAGGATATCCATCAAATGCATGTCAAATTAATTATTCAAAAGATGAATTATGAAAAAAAATCAAAATCTGAATGGCTTGTTAGAGCATAGAAACATATGTTGCAACATAACATGTGCAATTTTAAAAATTAACCCATTTTTAGTAATTATCAAAAATTACAAAATGTATTAGAATTTCTCTTTTCTACTTATATACATGTAGAGCTAAGTTTTTAAGCCTTAACCTGTAAATTTCCCATCCCCAATGAAAAGAAATACAACTTGTGTTTCTCTATACAGAATATGTTTGTCATTCTTGAAAATAAATAAATACATTATACATGAATATCATACACATGTAGATACAAACTTGGAAAAGTTTGATGGGGTTGCGGTCAACAACGAAGCATACGCCTCCATTAAATGTTCCCATGACATTGACCAGAGGAGGACATTCCTTGACCACCTCCAGGAAATTCATGACGAGGCACAGAAACAACAAGATGGGAATTTATTGACTCATTTCTCAGTAAGCTGGCACTGGGGACGTTGTGGAGGACACAGTCAACCTTTCCTCTGGCGCGGGAAAACAATGGACGCCTCCCATCACATGATTGACATATTCGACAGTATCGATGTTCAGGTAAAACAAAGCAAAATAATAGTAACAGAACGTCACATGTATTTTGAATCAATTTAGAAGAAATAAAGATTGTTTCATGGTTCATACGTTATTGCTCTTTCGATATATATTTATATATATATATATATATATATATAGAGAGAGAGAGAGAGAGAGAGAGAGCGAGAGAGAGGTAAGTTTAGTACTTCAAACATGTCTGCCCAATGGAACATCACACTGATCATGCAGCTGCTTTACTTGAGTATAGGGGCAACACACGATATAATAAGATCTCTTTAAAAAACAGCAATACAGTGCCTTTAGCAAGAGGGTCAAATGTATATACAGTGTATAAAATTAAACAAATCAAATATGTTGCTCCAAGTCACTTTTAGCTGATATCCTCCAGTTGCCAACGTGAAATGTTGGTTGAAGTCTTAAAATTTCTACAAAAGGACACAAGAAAGATAACTCCCGTCCGTTCTCTACGATTACTATCGCAAGACCATCATTGCCAAATTCAAAGCCGATCCTTTACTAAATTTACCTTCTATATGATCAGCATTACATTTTTTTAACTTGTAGAGTATATATGAAAACTTTTAAATCAGGATTACGCTCTCAAGTATTTTATAATATCTAAGCAACTTTCTTGAAATAGACGTATTACGTATATCGTCCTCAGGTTGGATATACAATATTTCCACAAATCAGGGATAGAATGGAAATGGCTGGTCGGAATTATTCATCTACCCTGCGCAAAAACATTTTTGTGACGTTTTATACGGATAAGGTAAATATCTTTACATGCAGAAAATCATAATCTATAGTATATTTGTTTCCCTTAATGATTCCTATAAGTTATAAGTATAATAATGTATTAATATTTTACAATGAAATTTTGCATTTACAGACGGAGCCTTGCCAAATCACCTTCTTTCCTCAAAATTGTCACCTAAATGGGAGATCAGAATCAAATCTTTTCAGTATAATCGATCAGTTTCCTCAAAATGGACTTGGACAAGAACAGCCCTGCATCCATTACTTTCGAGGTGTTTATTCCAGTGGGGGAAATGAAGACTGGCCTGTCCATTTATGAACATTTGGTATTAAAGATTTAATACTTAGAATACATGCATCAGCCTAATTTATTCGTCAGTTAAATGTCTTAAATACACATTATATTTTGCAGTAATGATAAACAGTTGTTATTTTCTGCCCCCTTCCCCTTTTCCCCGTCAAGGAATAAGTAAATCATGCACTGACACATGAACAGTGCTGAAATTGTAAACATACTTCTAGTTTACATGGAAATAATGCTTATTCTATTAATTTGAATTTGTCTTTGCATATTTTTCCATCAAAGTCTTGCTTTCTATGTTTGTAGCAGGAGTTATTTCTCTTTGTATAACGTCGAAACACATCAAAGGTTATCGATTCCTATAGCATGTAAAACATTGCGATTTCCGATTTCTTTTCCTCGTGTACTGTTTAATTTTCCTTATTTATTGCAGGTTTCACAATTTGAATTGCTTAATTATTTTGCTTTCTGTCAATATGTGGTATATATTTTATTCAAATTTTTATTTTAAATGAATATGCAATAGTATTGCATAGTTTTCCAATTTTATTGTACAATGTTTCTCATTGTATTGTACATCTTTTTCAACCTGTATTCTTTTATTTTTATTATCAGTTTGTATTTGTTTGCATTGAATAAAACACCAACTGCATTCTACCTTTGAATCTGTCTTGTCTGCGATTTTTACAATATTCCTAAAAAAATATTTACATTTCATATGCAATATGGATACACTGTATTTACATAAAGTCTGTTTTACAGATATTTTCGTGGTATCTTAACAAACTTCCATGTGGTAGTGCTACAAGTATAGGCTTGATGACGTCTTTGTTTTAAATGCATACCAAAAGAATTCTGGAAAATACATAGTTCTCATTATGTTCAAGATTGCATGTTAGTCTACTGAGCTCGCTTTACGAATACAGCAAGATGGCAAACAAGCATTATTATTAAAAACCGTGATCTACTTTAACATGTTTAACATATATTTAAAATTCTAATGCATGTTTTGATATTTTCTTTTTTTTAACTCAGTCATATATGTAGTTTAAGTGTTTTACATGTAAAACGTCAATCCTACTTTAGAAAATAATAATTATTAAAGCTGCTGTACGAGAAAATCCTATTGATCAAGATCAAATATATATTCTGTTAAATTTCTGCAAATTAGTGGAATTTTTTACTTTCTGAATATCCCTATGTATTCCCAATTTTCAAAAAAATATGAAGAGAGGTTGGCATGTTTAAAAAATATAATATATCCCAATGGAAAAATGTGATTGTGTTTCCAATCATGGGAGTTACTCATAATTCAGTTGAAGGATTTCTGCAAATCGGATTTGAAGCAACTATCTAAAAAAAAAAACTTTTAATATACACATACAAATTTCGTAATTCCTTTAAACCAGTTGAATTGTTTTCTTACTTGGATATGACATTTTAAATCTGACATTTAATTTGAGGTAAAGACAGGATACATATGGAGTTTAAAATTGCATTATCCATAGACGAAGGGAATTCTCTTCCGAAGAGATAACCCTATAACCACTACACAGCTATTGTACTCAATTAAAGAAAATCTTGTTAAGATTACCCTGAAAAAGTAGACAAACTCCGATTAAAGAGCCAAAATAAACAACGTAAAACGGACGTTCTTTGTCGCTGGCAAGGTCTTCTACACTGGCAGATGCGTGGTCGTGTGTCGAGCGTACGTCCAATTTACTACACAATTTTTCATTTTCAATTGTTCCAATGTTCTTGGAATCAGACTTCATCTTCATATTGGAAATAAGATCCTGTTGATAGATATCAATTATGTTAACTAATATTTGGCCCTTATTAAGTATCCTGTGAGCAGACGATGCGGCCAAGTCAAAATCTCGTTCTGCACGTGCGTTGACGAGACGAGCACGCGACTTCTTGGAGTCATTATTCGTGTGCCTCTTTACGCAGGTATGGAAACAAATAAAAATCTAGGACTCATTAATAAAGTTTGGGATTGAATCAAGTTTTACTTTGTTGTCGACAAAGATAGCATCGTAAAGAACCGAGCTTTTAAATCTCAAAATGAAGATTTTACTCCGAACAGTTCCAAGGAGGCACGTGACCTGCAGCATGCCAGTATGGATGCTACCTCAATCCACAATTAAGAGTTCTATTTCTAAGCTGAATGTTATTCAGACTCGTGTCAAAAACTTACATCAAACAAATTTTGATATGCACCTGGATAAAAAAAAAAAGGTCGCATATCAATGCCAAGATGAACAAAACCCAATAAACATGCGGTTTTTATGTCTTGTGACCAATGTTCATATTGCAGATATATTGAAAGAGTATAAATATATGTTCAGCATTGTTTTTACATCGAAATCAAAATATTTCAAAGATTCGCTACATTTGATTACATTATTCCATTATCTTACGTCCGTATTTACCTATAATAAACATATGAGGAAATAAATATAATACTAGTATTAAAACAAGTACTAATTTAACAATTTGAGCATGGCAAATTTTTATCCAGCCGAACCCTTTAAACTTCAATATCAGTCAGGGGATCAAAGGTCAATATTGATCGAACTTTGAACTGATTAACTAGACGATGTTTTACGTCCCATTCGACAATCTTCACTCTCTATACACCGTATACCCGTTTTTGAAATTTTTTTTCGCGTAACGCAAATTTTGCAAAAAAAGATTTGTGCAGTTTTTATTTTTGCGTGTCAGTTTTGCGATTTAATTAAAATAGTATGGCAAGCCCTTTTGATATTTATTCGGAAAATAAAATTTATCTTAAAATTACATCTCTCATTTTAGAGAGATATCTCTTAAAAATAGAGATATCTCCCCACGTAAAGAGATATCTCTCATTTTTAAGAGATATCTCTATGAGAAAGAGATATCTCTTAAAATTAGATAGATATCTCTTAATATCTCTTTAGCTTAGAGAGATATCTCTTTTTGAAAATCTAAAGAGATATCTCACTAAGAAAGATATCTCTTTTAACCTTGTTAAAGAGATATCTCTCTAACTTTAAGAGATATCTCTCTTGCTGTCTACGTTTTACTTCTTGTGAATTATGTAATTTAAATAAATATCATTAACAGTAATACATGTAAAAGGTATTCCGAGTGAAAAGTATACACTAAAGGTTCTTGAAAGGTTTATAATATAAAATTACCTTGCAATACGTATTTAATGTTTAGTTTAGTACATAAATTGAATTATATCTTTTAAAAAATACGAACTAAGAAAGTTTGTACTCTTTACGTTCCTATTTTTGGCATGAAATTTTGAAAAAGCGATCATGATCAGTTATCAAGCTCAAAACTCCACTATATCATACAAATCGAGAGCAAAGCAAACATGGACATCTAAATAAAAATCAGAGGTAGGATCAGGTGCTTATGAAGAGTACGCATCCCTTGTCGACGGGTTAAATCCGCCTTGCGCTCCTTGTCAAGCAAATACAATTATGAGTAGGGGCTACAATATATATCTTGCAAACAGTGGACAAATATATAAATTTCAAGAAATGGGTCACCTATATGCCTAAAAGATGTTCTTTTTCAGAACCAAATGTGTCAGATTTTCAACAGCTAATTTCTGGTGATAATTAATCAGTTTTATTGCTTGAAATTTGTATCATCTTTATAGGAACAATGTTATCGCGTCATTGCCAGCATCCACGCGCCCAACACGCGATCACCAGCTGTAGCTTGATTTGCTATTTTTATTCCGAGCAGAGGACATTATTAGACCTATTCATTTTTTAATCCTATCCATATATTGTCTCTAGAATTTGATTTCTCGGGGAAGATTTCCCGTTCCTGCATTTTCATTACCCTAATCTTGAGATGAGGAGAATGTCAGCTGCCTGCGTATACCTGTATATGAAATACTTATCATCTTTCATCATCAATTATATACATTACTATAAAGAAGTTGCCATCTCTGTCTTTTTCACAGAGGGGACCCTTCAATTACAAATTCACGTAAATAATCTTACAATTTAATCTGAGTTTAAAAAATCTTACCTTTCATGGAAGTCGATTTAGGATGGAAATATTTGTTAATTTTTTTTTTTTTTTGGGGGGGGGGGGCTATATTTTCCATATTGTTTATTATATTTGACCAAAAACAAAACAAAACCAGTCAAAATTGAATAAATGTTTTTGTTTAATGAACCATATTTATAAAAATGCAGTAAACGGAATGATTCCTGAACGATATCTAGAAGTTTAGCATTTGAAAAAAGAAATTAAGAAAGATAACTTTTGCCAATGGATCTACTAGACTAGAACGTGTATTCTTTTTAGAAGCACATATAACATTGATATATTCTGACTTAAGAAGGGACACTTTTATGTTAACTAATATGAATTTCATAGGTATGGCACCATTAAATCATATTCATTTTAATTTATGTTATGTTAATAAATAAAAACTGTGTTAAAATTTCTTCATGCCATTTAAAAACATTTTTGAAAAAATAAAGCGAGCTTCAAATATAGTTTTTGGTGACAATCAATATTGGTTATTTATTTTTTTTAATTTATAACAGAGTCTTAACTCCTTATAAAAATTTGAATTTTCTTGTACTCATTTTAAAATTAACATCGAAATAAAATTATTTTATATGGAAGTCGTCAGCTTATTAATTGAAATGCAAGCACGAAAAAAATTGTCTATGCATTTATTAAATAATGTGTATTTACTCATCTCTTCGGCAAATTTCTTAATTATTATATTTAATCTTGGTATATAATGAAGATTATTAAATTTAGCACGAATGAAAGCACCCAATAAGATCTAAATTTTAAGGATGATCCTCAGCCAGGAAGGGTTTAATTAAACAAGTCTAATAATGAACGTTGAAATTGAAATCTTTTCATGGAACGATTTCCATTTTTACCACTCAATGTAATACAAGGTTATTGAAAATCTTAGAAATGGTATTATAAAAGTTAAAAGTACCATATCTGTAGAAATCAGTTCTTTTAATCAAACCATAGATATTGTTTAGTATTTGCATGAGATGAAATAAAAAGTGGTATTTGTGTTTAGCTACAATAAGATACACTTTAAACACTACGCATTATAAAATAATCGAAGTGAATGGAAGAAACTAAAGTACCGTATAAAAATCCAGCAATGTTCTTCAAAGGAGCAATGTTCTTCAAAGGCCTGGATACCTTTGTATTCATAAAATGCAAATGATGATCAATTTTCAATAGAAAATGCGAAATAGGTGTTTTCATTTCCTGAAAATTTGAGATTTAATAATTTTACCTATACGATATGATTAACTTTAAAGGTGAAGTTCTAAAAAAATTCTCTTGGGTAATTACACATTACTTTGAGAATTTTTGGAGTCTGAGAGACATTTTTCTTGGGTAATTACACATTACTTTGAGAATTTTTTTGAGTCTGAGAGACATTTTTATGAGCATTTAAAACTAGTCGATGCCTTTCCTTTTCTTTCTTTTTTTTGTTGTT